ATCATGGAGTTGGGAGATTCAGTTTGATTTTAACTGGGAATTAAACATGCATGTTTTTAAGGAATTTTTTTTATTTAAATCTTAATAATTTAGTCATGCAGTTAAGTTTTAATGGGAGTTTGAAATTTAGTAAATTTAACATAGAATTAACGGATCGGAGAATTATAAAACTAATAATACAGAATATAATTTTTAACCGAAAAGGAATAAAATAATATTGTTGAATAGAAATATGAATTTTAATATTGTTGTATTACTAATATTATGTTTGACTATTTTACTACTATTAAAATAGAGTGAAAATATTGAAGAACTATTAACAATATGAAATAACATAACAATATACATGAAAAACATGAATGCAGTGGTGGAGAAGAAGGAGAGGCGTGAGAAGAGAAAACAATATCTCAAAGGAGTGGTGGAGAAGACAGATCTAAAGGCAAAGGACAGATCTGGGATTTATTTTAAGAAGAAAGTAAAAGAAAATAAAAGAAGACTTTACCTTTGAGACTTTGGTCCCGCCGGAGCTTCTCCTCGCCGTTGTCGTCATCCCCAGCCGCGACTGTTCTTTTACAACATACGTGACGGCGTGGTGGCGGCTGTGACGTCGCGTAGCGGTGGTGGGTGTTGTGCGACGGTGGTGTGCTGCAGTGGTTGTTTCTCGACGTCTGTTGTCTGCGACATGGTGGCCGGTGGTGGTGTGCGATTGTACGGTGGTGGTCTGTGACGTGGTGGCCGATGTGCGACGTCGCGGTGGTGGGAACGGTGGTGGCCAGTGGTCGTACATGAAGATGAAGCTGTGGTGTGAATGACAAATCTGAAGCTGAAGCAATGAAGGTGGTGTGGGAGACTCTCTGACCTACTAGATCTGGATTTACATAAGCAACAAATGGTTGCCTATTACAAAGAAATTTCTTTTTTAAGGCAACCGTTTCTCTTAGAAATGGTTGCCTATTAGAAAGCAATTTTTTTTAAATACATAAAAAATACAATGGGCATCCATTACAGCTAACAGAGGTGGCGGATTATTGATCACTTATTTACAAAATTACCACCGCGAATTTTTGGTTAAGATGCATTTTGTATATTATCATCTCTTCATTACTTTCTCGCTTTGTCATAGCGACTGTTATGTTATGATGTGAGATAAGGAATAGCAAATCAAGGTACAAATATTCATATTGATGATTTTTTTTTTTTACATGAAGTCATCATACTTGGGACAAATAAAAATGTATATAGTTTTCATGATATAAAATACCTTGATCCACATGAACTCCAGAAGAGTGATAAAATATTTGTCTAGAAGATTTGCTCCAATGTCCAAGTTAGCAAATGTATACATACAAAATATCCATAAGATTGATATGCGTAGGTAAAGAAGATTATTATATTTAGGGGGAGCAACAAAATATAAACTATAAATAATTTTATTGGTCCAGATGATTATGAGAAAATATGATAAATTCTAATGACAATCCAGAAGATTGTACCATATCCCTTCTCTACACCCTTTTGAAACAATAATTTTACTTTAAAGCAATGTAGAATTTGAAGATTGTTATCTTCAGGGGGAGACAAGAAGTACATTCACTCGAGTCAATTCTATATATTGGGTCTTAAAAGACTAATAGTTGCACTTTTTGCAGTGTCTACATTCACTCGAATCAATCCTGAAGATTGGGCATAAAATCCTGAAGATTGGGTCTTAAAGACGTACTGCCAGTACGTTGTACTATTTTGTAACATATGAATGCATAAATATCATGTACTCTTTTCTTCACTAGGTTTTTCCCATTGGGTTTTTCTAGTGTGGTTTTTAACGAGGCATGAGTAAGATATAGTAATGTCAATATCGGGAAGTTGCATATAAATACTTAAATAGACAAACCCCAAAATCCTGAAGATTATGCCTTGAAGGCTTATGGTTGTATTCTTTTTCCCTTAACTAAGCTTTTCAGACAGGATTTTCTTAAGTTAAGGTTTTTAATGAGGCAACCAGTTCAAAATTTGTTTTTACAAATATCGTGTACTCTTTTCTTCAACTAGGTTTTTCCCACGTGGTTTTCCTAGTGAAGTTTTTAACGAGGCATGAATGTATTCAAATATACTATCCATATACCTTGTTCTCTTTTCTTGTCTAGATTTTTCCCACAGGATTTTTCTAGCAAGTTTTTAGTGAGGCAAGATCGTGGACAAATAATGTCCAAGGGGGAGTGTTATAAATATATTAATGTGGGCATTATTTCTATTGTAACAGACGTAACGATCCGGTAATTAAGCATGCCATTATTGTATCCGTTATATTTGTATTGTATATATACTTACATATGTTGTATTGTTTGGAGGCTAATGAAATGGAGATTACCCCCTATACTATTGTCTATCATTCTCCCTTCTCTCTTTACACCTTACTTGCAATGTTAATCAGTTTATCGGTTAGGAGCTAATGGCCAACGGCCATCTCACTTTACAACAGAATTATCAAAATATCATAGTAATAGAAGATTATGTTGATGCTTTGTTCCTGCGTGAGTGCGTGGTTACTGCAATACTCTAACCTCATAATCTCAATAAGAGTAAATTCCATTTTTCCATTTTTTAGTCATCGAATATTGTGACATTGCCACATTTAGTCCTATTCTTTTAATTTTACCATATTACATCTCTGACTTTAATTAATTTGATTGTCACTATTGGTCCTCCATTAAAATTTTCGTTAATAATATAATTTAACAACTTGTCTCAAATACAAATTAAAATTCATCTTTTCTATTATACTTCTTTTCTCGTAACTCTCTTTGTGCTAGTTGAAAGTCAGGAAATGGAAAGAAGTTCAAACTAAAAGTCGAGTAGGCGTAAGAAAGATCCAGGCGAGAATCAGTTTAGTGTCTCTCAGTTTTTCGCTGGGTTGTTTCAAGAAAAGTCAGATTTGAAGTCTAATAAGCGGAAAGATTCCACAGAGAATGGGTTAATGGATGGGAATGTCCAACTTGAAGCAAGGCAATATATTGTGTGCTCTTCTGTTAAAGATAGAAATGTAAATTATATTTTGAATCAGAAAGTTAGGAATCGCGATTAGAGTTCAAAAGGTACTTTATTCGATCATGCTGAGACTAGTAGATCGAATACAGTTGCTGATGATAAGAATGCAAGTTCGCCAAAGATGGATTTGTTTTATATTTGAGACAAGTTATTAAATTTCAGTATTAACCTTATAGTTAACCGTATATTAACGAAAATTTTAACGGAAGGATCAATAGTAGCAATCAATTTAAAGTCAGAGATGTAATATGACAAAATTAAAAGAGTATGAAATATAGTCCCGAGGACTGAAAATGATATTTACTCTCTAAATAATATATATATATATATATATATATATATATATATATAATTTTTTTTTTTTTACAATTGGCCCCCCAAATTTGGGGGCCAATTTGTAAATAAAAAAAATTGTATATATACTATACAGCAGGCAGTGGCCTGCTGTATAGTATATATACAATATATACATTATTTATGGGGCCCCCAAATGCAATGGCCCTGCCTCTAAGATTTAATTTGTTGAGACTCTAATAGTCGGCAATTTGTTGAGACTCTAATAGTCGGTAAATTATTGTGTAGATTATAATAAAAAGTACATTTTTAATATATTAAATATATATTATTTTTGTATTGAATGTACATTATATAATATAATGTACACTCAGAACAAAAATAATGTATATCTCCTGAATATAATGTACATAATTTTACATTAGACAAAATGTGGACACAATAATGATTGCTAATAGTCCATCACAACCTTTCACCAAGCTTGCAATTGCGATGCCGATGCCCCAAGTCCAAGCCTCCTAGGTTCATTTGGGATAAAAGTGATGATGCCGGTAGATGAAGGTGCCATTGTCTTCATTTGTCAACGTCTTTGTTCGTTGCTATTTGCTCCATTGGGTAGCAAAGCAGAGAGGGACAAAGATGGAAAAATCAAGATGTATTTTTCACAAAGATGTACAGTAACACATCGATTGTATGTATGAAGAAGATTGTAAAATGGAATGGAAGATTAGAGAGAAAAGTAGAACACAAAGATAAACTCAAGAATTCAAGAACACAAGTTCTCCCTTTCATTATGCCTTGAACATGTATATATATACATCCATATAACCCTTTATTTTCTATAACATAAATAATGGAATAAATATAAGTTAAATGAAAGGTCTTGTGATAATAACAATAATAATAATAATATTTATAACAATTGGTGTATTCTTGATTTATTTAACAATCATTCTCCTCTCAATTATTTCATTTTTATTGAAAATGTATATAAGCACACCAAAAGCTAATTTTCTAATTAAATTAGTATTTTCTATATTTGAACCCCTTCAACATTCACATATTTGTCTAAAACATTCTTACAATAATTAATGAGTGAAAAATAACAACTTTCATTCCCTCTTGACCTCTTACAAATCTGGTCGACCCCTTTCAAAACAGCACTCGCACAAGGCTCATATTTCGAAAGGTTCAGGCCAAGAGGCCATCTTTATTATATATATATATTGATTGATGATTGATTGACTCTAATGGCCTAATACACACACAAAAGCTCCCCAGCTTAGTCAAAAGTAAACTCCATTTTCCACAATTATCTCACATCACCCCCACCCAGCTACTCAACTGCAGCCATGGCAATTCTTGAGGGTAAGACATCTTTCATTAACCCCTCTGCTGAAAATTTTCCATCTCCAGGGCTTGCCCAACAAGCTCAACCGCTACCATATGCTGCCTTTCCCACGAGGTCGTTGCCCAACCAATACTGGAACCCCGTTACGGAGATGGGGACTGCCGCGAATGCAGCGGCGTTGACCAAGTGGAAAATGAGTGTTGTTAGTCATCCACAAAGAGATGAAAATCACTCCGTTAATACAGAGTATGACGAGTTGTTCCAGATGCTCATCGACGAAGATGCAACGATGAAGTTTTCCTTGGGAAATTTTGACTTGATTAGCTCTTGGAATTATGCAGATCATAGTGAGGTTCAACAGTTACAGAAAGGGAAGGAAATGATGTGGCCAGAAAGAAATGATTGCCACCACTTGGATGTGGCCATTCAATCGCCGGGAGGAATGGTGGTGAGTTCACCAAGGACGAACTCGCCGCGAGCAGAAAGCAATGATGACCACGGTTCTTTTAATATAGAGGATCTTCTCAAAGATGGGTTGGATGTGCCCATTCAATCGCCGGGAAGAATGGTGGTGAGTTCACCAAGGACAAACTCGTCCGATGATTCCCTGGGAAGTTTTGACCCGGATAGGCTGTGGGGTGATAATGAGTATAGTGTGGTTCAAAAGTTGCAGAATGAATCATACTGCTGTTGGCATGTTGCCTGGACTTGAATCAGGTTGCAGGGGAAGGGTGATGCAACACACCCCATCATATGAATGCCGAATTCCTGCAACGAATGATGAGACAAACTTTGTTGGGTTAAAAAGAATTGATGCCATATCAAACAGATCAAAGGAAAAAGGCACCACCTGCGGGAGGCAGCAGAAATATAGCGGAATTACCCTCGAGGCTATTGAACAAGTGCTTAATAAGACACGTGATGTTGCTGCTCAAACTCTTAATGGTAAGCTGCGCTAACACTTATGTGACTTGATTGTTTTGTAATTGTCAATTTAATCTCTACTTTTTAATTTGAACAAATTTGATTATGGAATTATTTAAAATTTCATCATTTATATCTCTTTAGCACTATTCAGTCAATCAGCCGTTAGTTGCCCTTATTTGAGTTCCGAAAAAGTAAACTTAATTCTCGACTAGGTTGAAAAGTAGACTTTCGCTTGTGATCGAAAGGTAAGTATGTTTACTTCTCGGTCATACGGCGAAAGGTGCTTCTGCTTTCTGGCACTTATTGGTTACATCTAAGAAGTGTCGCACTCAAATAAGGGGCAACCGAAAGTAAACTTACTTCTCCTAGGTTAAAAAGTAGACTTTTGTAATTAGAAGGTATGTTTTACTTCTTAATCACACGGCCAAGAAATGCTTCTGCCACTTCTTGGTTACGTCCTAACGTCATAGTGCTAAAGGTATTTAATTGACGGAATTTTAAATAAATAAAGGACCAAATTCGTTAAAACTAAAAACTAAATTCATAGATGCAAAACAATTGAAAAACCAAAATAAAATACTAATTTTTCCTTTTAAGCTAATATACATGTGTTGTTTCTTTCCTAGAGGCACATTTACATTGTTTTTCTTGAAATATTTTTGTGCAGTTAGCCCATCCACATTGAAGCGAGCATGTCGGAAATTTGGCATTCCTAAATGGCCAATTCAGAAGAGGAAAAGGGGCAATTGCCCTCCCAACCCAAAACAAGCTACTAAGAAGCGTAAAGGAAGTGAACAATGTCCTGCAGTTGCTCTGCCTCCCGAACAAGCTGCCACACCTACACTCCAAGGCAATAGCACCATGTCCGTAAAGGTAACCTATAAGAATAATACCGTAAGGTTTGCGCTCTCATCCTCCTCAACGATGAAATATTTAGAGGAGCAACTGGAGACAAGGTTTGAAATAACACTAGACAATTTCTTTATCAAGTATCAAGATGAAGAAGATGAGTGGATTACACTAACGTGTGATTCAGATTTGAGGTACTGTATGGATGTGTTAAGTTCATCTGGCAAACTTGTGATCAGAATGATGGTCACTCCGAAATCTGACTGATCCATAGATGCAGCAGGACTCCAGTCTTTCTTTGTTCCCTTATGTTATTTCCACCTGCTTGCGTTTCTTTTTTTGATTATTTTTTGTGACCGAGAAAAATCTGTAATCATTATCTGAGAGTGTGCACGGGTCTTGTGATCTTTGCTAACAAAGTACTACAAGAAAGGAAAATCAACCTAGGTTGCTCATAGTTGACTAGCTCAAATTAATGTTGAGATTCGAACTCGTAACTTTGTAATTATAAATTAGTATTATTAATTATTTTGGATGGGTTACCCTTCTGTTTTGTTTTAGCAACTGGTATGGCATGTTCTCTTCCCTTTCCACTTTTTCTAATGTCAAATGAGACACGGGACCTACGTACAAATATTGCATATGCTGTTTTCTCATTGAACTTTGTGTAATGTGAAATGAGACAAGGGAACCTTGGAAATATTGCATGTTCTCTTGCATTGGTACTTTTTCTAAATGTGAAACGAGAAATATTCTCCCCTACCCTATATAATGAGTAAATATTCAAAATGGTCCCTCGATTATAGCTAAATTCACAAATTGATCATCGACTTTCAATTTCAACCAATTAAGTCTTTAACTTTGCATTTTTTACACGATTTGATCCTACGTCTATTTGACCGTTTGTTGACCGTGATCTCTGAGGATATATATGTAATTTCGTGCATGGACCTTATTGGAATTTTTCGTTTGGCAAAATTAATGGTAATGCTTCTATTTGTTCCTGAAATTGATTCAGACTATGTCGTAATTGTTACTTGGTCTAGAGTGCTACGTAGATCATGATCTATAGTAAAATTTACCCTCTAGAAGCACTTTGGGCAAAACCGATCTGAGTGACCTATGAATCTATGATCCCACAAAGAAAACAAAAACTTGGGTCTTTCATGACGAAAGTCTACCCATGGGCCATCGGTATCCAACTAGTAGGGTGTGTGCTTGAATCCAACTTTGGAGAGGGGAACTTCAGAAGGGAACACGTTTGGTTGGAGTTTTGCCGTGACAAGGATATGTTGTTTGACATTCTATTTAATAAAAAATGGCCAAAAGTTTACAAATTTTCAGCTGTGTTTTTGACATTCTATTTAATTTGTAACTATGCTTAACTTCTCCAAGTGTGAAAACTGAGAAAGAGTAGGTAAGGTTTACAAATTGTAACTGTGGATGGATGTTTATTATTGTTCATGAATATAATTCATGATATTCTATTGTTCATGTTTTGTTTTTTGTTTTGCCATAATGTTGGCGTGTGAGCATCCCATCCAATATTTTTTGAAAAAGGAGACGCAATAAATTTGAAGTAGTCTAGTAAAATAAGTAACAAGCTAAGTGCCAAAGGAGTGCACTGGTGTGCAGGGGCAGATCCAACAAATTACGTGAGTGGGGGCGTAGTTCAAATGACTTTAGAAATGTCAATGATAAAATATCGAACACTCATAATATGGTTTAAATATAAAATACATTATAAATTATAATATAATATTTATGATATTTGGATAGGGTTAAATATTAAAACAATTTGAAATGCTACAAAAATATTTATGGCAAAATGTACGTGAAACATAATCGTTTAGATAAAAATAGTTTGAATAGAAGAGATAGTATATTCATAAATACTTAAATTATAATTTTTTTTTAATTAGATCAACTTTAAATTTTATTAAATTAATTTGAATATAATATAAACTTGCATTGTGGACTACATTAACTGAATGATTCACAAAAAAAAGTAGACTTAAAAAATTATTTAATTCATTAAAGGATTGGAAGGACTAAAATAAAGTAGAAGGGCTAAAATAAAGAAAAAAAAAACTAAAAAAATACTACTAATGGAATTGGATCCCATGACATACCCTACCATAACAAATCCAAGGTTTCAATCAACTAGACTACTAAACACTTTAGTGATTCCTATGTTTATATATATATATATATATATATATATATATATATATATATAAAGGTTTGGGAGGGGTGAAGGGCACTGCCCCCATGGTAAATCCGATAATGGGTGTGATTGTATTCACCCAATTAAGAAATTCTATGAACCTTAAATGCTTGTATACAAATGACCACAATAAAACTAATATGAATCCTGATCTTGCTATTATTATCAAAATAAAGTTTTTCAACTTATTTTAGATTGATTGGCTACTTGAGTTGTACTCAGAACATGTTATTATACATATCATTACAAAAAGCTGCTGGCGTAATACCATACACTAAACAAACCTAGAATGGTTCCACCATTAGAATGGCAAAAATGTGTAATGTAGTAACATAATCAGTGGCGGAGCCAGGAAATTTTGTCAGTGGGGGCAGAACATTACGACAAAAAAAATATATTTTTTAAAAAAATGAAACACTTAAAAGTATAATTATAAATATTTTTGGATATAAGTAAAAAATAAAACATATCAAAACTTTATAAAAATATTTATAATAAAATATGAAACATAATTAATTTGATAAAATAATTAGAATAGAAAATAAATTATAAAATACACATCTCATTTTATATATATGAAATTGTGTTGAAGCAATAGCCTAATAATTAATAATAAAAAGTCATAAAACTTATTTAAGCACAACAAGATTCAAACCTAATAATTAATAATAAAAAGTCATAAAACTTATTTAAGCACAACAAGATTCAAATCCTGGACCTTACCAAAGGCCAACCACACACCCAACCAACCGAACTAAAGCAATACTTATTTAAATTCTTGTGTTTTATTATACTAATACTTAAAACCTGTTCTATATATACATATATACATACAAGGATAATATAGGGGTGGGGGTGGGGGAGGGAGGGCAGCTGCCCCCACTGCCCCCATGCTGGCTCCGCCCCTGAACATAATATCTCAGAAGACTTGCATGCATGGACAGATCGAAGTTGAAACAAGAACAGAAATGGAGGGGATTTCAGAGAAATTAAAGGGAAATACAAAGAAGGAAAAATGCATGAGAAATCATTGTCTGAAAACACTCAAATTGCAAATAAGGAATATAAATAATAACAACTAACACCACATGAAAACTAACTAACTAGGGCTAGATCGAATGTGGGATATGATCATAATTCATAAGCGAGCCAAGTCCTCCCTCTCAATTTTCTCAGCATCTACATACGCATGCATACAGATGTTTGCAATGGTGAAATATGGAATCCGGCCAGCCAAATGATGTGGCTTCTCATCAGGTAGAAGTGTAGAACTCCTCCACAAATCTAAGCCGTATTAATTAGTCAAAATTCATTCTTAAAGAAAAAAGAAGTTGAGAACACATACAACAAAATGCAATGCAAGTAGGTATGGTAGGCGCCTAGGCGGGGAATTGAAGAAGTCCGGAAATGAGTCTTGCAACTATGGGAGCTTCATTCTGATGATCTTAGCATGCATATCTATCCATGCTGTTAAGCAATTCCAAATCACAGGTTAGGGGGTAATACACTCATATATAGTTGAGGGGAGGAAGAGAAAGGAAACTAACATTATTATGGTATCATTTTCAATTCATAGATTACCCTTTATGGACATGGCGATATAACCTTGGAGTTCTTGAGGCGGCAGAGCAGGACATGGTTGACTTCCCTTATGCTTCTTAACAGCTTGTACATTTTCTTTTTGGCTGAGAGAGGAATTGGGGCTTTTTCCCTTGAGATTTGGGCATCCAGTGCCAGTGCCAGTGCCAAACTCTCGGCATGCTCTCTTGAATGGATATGGCATAACTGCACAATATAATGGAGATTATTCAAGAAAAGTTAGCAAAAGTGTCTCAGCTCTGAGAAAGTAGTAGTATTGACTATTGAATTAAAGCAAGAACCACCTCGCTCTATATACTAAGAAAGAAACTATTGAATACTACTCCAATAAATATATGAATATAATAAAACTGTACTGTACTGTTAGCAGCTCACCATATGAATTTTAGAATCATCTCCACGACTCTTGTCAAGCAGTAGTTCAAGAACCTCGCGGGTAATCCCATTATCTTTCTGCCACCTGCTGATGGTGTCTTTTGCCTTTGAACTACTACTACTGTTTCCTTTGGCATCAATTGATCTGTTTAACCCAACAATTATTGCTGCACAGGATGATTCGGGAATTTGCTCTTCACTTGATGAGATCTGCTGCTGCTGCTGAATCATCCCTCCCCTGCATTCTGCTTCAAGTGAAATGCCAACACTATGATTCTTAATTTTCATGGTCGTACCAACAACTTGTAACTCCACAACCATTTCCAGAAAAACTCTATCCATGTGCTCCAACAGCCTCTCCCTGCAGTCCAGATGGACCAGATATAAACTTTCCAAGAAGTCCATAAACATCCTGTTTAGGCAGACCAATAATGTGTGCACCCTTCCTCTATTGCTTTGTTGTTCACGTGCTATTGCTAGTAGGTATAGCCAAATGTCAACGGTGTGTTTCATTTTTCCTAAATACAGCAGCACTCTTTCTACAACATCCGGTAACCATTTATTCCTATATTCTGTATGTAGTAGCCAAACTTGTAAACCTAGCACCAATAATTCTTTCTTATTAGGTAACAGTCTGAAATCATCCTTATTATGTAACAGTCTGAAAGCTTTCCCCGGCTTGCGAGTTAGCACCAATACTTCTTTCTTAGCTAACACTCTGAAATCTTCCACCGACTTGCAAGTTACCATCAATAATTCTTCCTTATTAGCTAACAGTACGAAAATTGACTTGCGAGTTAGCCCAAATAATTCTTTCTTATTAGGTAACAGTCTGAAATCTTCTGTCGCAGTTAGCCCCAATAATTCTTTCTTATTGGTCTGCATTACAGCCATATTCTGAAAATGAAATTCTGGGCGGAGCAAATAGGAAACGTTAACTGATAACCCAATTCGCTGCCCTTCTTCTTCTTCTTCCCTATTCCGTGACTCTATAACCGCAGCACCAAAATCTTCATTACCCAACAGAGAGCAATCCAGGTCAAAGCTTCCTAGGGAATCATCGAACCACGACGGATAGTTCCCCATTATCCTTGATGAACTCGCCATCATGTCAGTTGGCATTCGATTAACAGAGTGATGACCATTTGTTTGTGGATGACAACTGCCCCAGTTCTGTTGCACCATCCCTCCCAAGCTTCCTGGTTCAAATGCAAGCGAAGTACCAAGGGTTTGATTCTTTGGCAAGACGGGGCCGGAATCACCGGACGGCAGGGACGAGCTCACCATCATTCCTCCCTGTAAATTGTGCATATTGAACAACCACCCAACCTGCTGGTTAGAATACTTTTCTACTGTATTAGCATAGTGATCATCGTCTCCTCTAATTTGCGGTGGTTGCGGATGACCAACAAAACTAATATCCCCTTCCCTCATTTTCAACTTCATCAATGCTGCTGCTGCTGCTGTATTCGTGGTGGTTCCCAAACCATTAGGCCGCTCAAGAATCTTGGACACTCCTTTCCCACTCCCAGTAGGAGGTGGCAGTTGAGCTTGAGCTTGAGCTTGTTGGGCCAGAGATGGCAAATTTTGAGATTTTGGGTGGACTTTCATTCTGATTATAGTCTGGCCAGATGATCTTAACACATTCATACCGTGCTCCAATCCCGAATCAGACATTAGGGTAATCCATTCATCTTCTTCATCTTTATATGTGATATAAAAATTTTCTATTGATATTTCAAACTCTCCTCCCAATTTCACCTTTAACCAGAGCATAGTTGAGGGGTACGGGAGCAAAAACCTTATGGTATGCTCTTTATATGTTACCTTTGCGGACATGGTGCTATTACCTTGGACTATATTTGTAGAAGTTGTGGCTTCCAATTCTGGAGGAGGCAGAGCTAGAGCTGGAGCAGGACTACGTGGTTGAGTTCCTTTATGCTTCTTAACACCTATTTGATTTTGGTTGAGAGAGGAAATGGGCCGTTTTCCCCATCTAGTGATGCCAAACTCCCGGCATGCTCGCTTCAACGTAGATGTGCTAACTGCATAATATATATAACACGGAGCTGAGGGAGATTCAAGAAAAGCTAGTAACTAAAGGTGTCTCAACTTAGTTCTCAACTCACCAAAGCAACTATGGTATTTGATAAATAGGTGTTAACTTATTGAATTAGTGAGTTTGATTAGTTAATAATAATCAGTGTAGAAAAATATAATAAATTAATTGTTTGTTAATAATTGATCAATTACAAAAATAATTTTTTCAAAAAACTTATTGCTTTTTGAATTTTAACATTCTGAAACAATAAATTGGTACACAAAACTATTTAAATAAATACTCATATTGATTGTTTAATCAAGTCAAACAGTTAATAGTGATCAAATAAGTTAAAATTGACTGATAATTTAATAAGTTAATTATGTTACCAAATCAAACAAATAATATTGGTCAAATTATATATATATATATATATATATATATATATATATATATATATATATGAAAATTTGTAAAGCGCAGCACCGAAACTGAAGTTGTAACACAAACAATTTGTAACGCAGTTCGGGCAAACAACCCTAATCTGCGAGGCACTTCTCAATTTGAGAACTTGCCTAAATCCACTAAAAGCTCAATATTTAAAGTACACTGTTTGGAACCTGAGATTACACAATAGAATGATCTTTCCTACCAACTATTGAAACCTAAACACATGTACTACTTTCTAGGGGAATTTAGTATCCTATTCTCAAAGACTCTCGTACCTCACAAGATTAATGTTGAATGCTTGAGGTCTACAATAAAGGACATCACCTATTTATAGTAGCTATTCCTAACAGATTCGTGAATAACAAACTATTCCTAATCAAAATAGAACTAGAAAATCTTCAACAACAAATCCCCTTAGAACTAGTATTCTTCAATAACTATTCCTCTTAGTACTGATATTCCTTTATAGAACTGGAATTCTTTTTGCACATAACTTTGACAAAATACTTTGAGTCAACATTCTCCCCCTTTGTCAAATTTTTGGCAAACACCTTGGTCTCTGTCTTTCTCCCCCTTAGTTGATGCCACAGTGGTGTTTGATTGATGGTAGATTAATGACAGGTTAGATCACTATCCCATGTGTAGCTTTTATCAGATGATCTTTTCCCCATCATAACACATTCATGTTTTTGGTTGTAGACTTTACAATTCTCTTTGGAAAATTCTACTTTGAGTTCATCATCACACAGTTGACTTATACTGATAAGGTTTGCTTTGAGTCCTTGTACCAAAAAGACTCTTGGTAATCTGGGCAGTCCATGGACATTCAAGGTACCACTTGCGATAATCTGTCCTTTTCCTCCATCTCCAAAAGTGACATGCCCTTCATTTTTGTACTGGATATTCTCAAGATAATGTGGATTTCCTGTCATATGTCTTGAACATCCGCTGTCAAAATACCAAACACTTTGTTCTTGGCTTGTTTCTGAGGTATACGCAACAGCTTGTGTTTGATCCTTTCTTACCCATACTTTCTTGCTGTTATTTTTGCTTTGTACTGTCCAATCTCTGTTGTTTTGTCTGTAATAGAGATCATTTTGTCTTTTGAAGCAGTATGCCTTTATGTGTCCCAATTTGTGGCAGTAATAACATCTGATTCTCCTTCAGTGTTGAAAGTGATGTTGTGACACCTCAGGATTTTCAGAAGAGTGGCTTTCACTGGACGCTGGATTTGGAGATCTAGGCCTTCCATCTAGTGCCTTGATTTCTTGTAACAGTTTGGCCTCTCTGTTTTTAGATTCTAATAATTCATTTTGAGTTTCTTTGAGGCGTTTTTCTTCTCTATCTTTTTCACCTTTTAGAAACTGATTTTCTTGCATGAGCTCTAGATTCACTTTGATGATTTGTTCCCATTTAGCATACAATTGGGTATATGACTCTAGCAGTTCTTGCATATCATTTTCGTTTTCGTTGTCATTCTCATGATTTGCGGTGAATGCTACGAAATTAGTGTTGGTGTCTTCTTCACTATCTGATTCATCGCTTAGTGTTGCCACATATGTTTTGTTCTTCCTTTTAAAATATGTTGGACATTCTGACTGGATGTGTCCAAACCCTTTGCACTCGTAGCACTGAATTCCTTCAGGTTTTAGACTCTCCCTTCCTTTTGAAATAGATTGATTTTGTCCAGTTGGGAAGTTCCCTTGATTGATTGAAGCACTTTTGCTTCTAAATTTGTTGAATTTTTTGAGAACTCTGTTGAAATTCTTTGTTAGGAGAGCAATTGATTGTTCCATGGTTTCAGTATCAATTTCTGGACTCTCTTTCTGCTTTGATTGGAGCGCAATTCCTTTGTCATTATTTTTCCCTTTTTTCAATATCTCAAGCTCATATGATTGAAGATTTCCCATTAGATCACTGAGTTTGTAGGTGTTTAGATCTTTGTTTTCTTGGATGGCTGTAACCTTTATCATAAATCTCTCAGGTAAGGAACGTAGGACCTTTTTGACGAGCCTAGGTTCAGGAATAGGTTCGCCTAGGTTAAACGCATCTCCAGCAATCCCTAAAACTCTTGCACTAAACTGTGAGATATCCTCATCTTCTTCCATTTTTAAATTCTCAAACTGTGTTTGTATCATTTGCAGCTTGGATTGCTTAACAGAAGTATTTCCTTCGTGATGATCACATAGTATATCCCATGCAATTTTAGCTATGCCAGTGGTAGCGATTAGTTTGAAAGTATCTTCACTTACCGCTCCATATATGGCATTCATTGCTTTTGAATTGTAATTATATTCTCTTCGCTCTTCTTCATTCCATTCTGCTTTAGGTTTTTGATTACCTTTATCATCAACTGGATTCTTCCATTCTTTCTCAACAGCATCCCAAACTCCTTCTCCTTGTGCCAAAATATAGATTTTTATTCTAGCTTTCCAGTAGGAGAAATTTGTACCAAAGAGAGCAGGGGGCCTGGTGCTTGACAATCCTTCTCTGGGAAACTCCATTAGGATCATGCTAATAACTTAAGCAGTTTGGCTCTGATACCAATTGAAAATTTGTAAAGCGCAGCACCGAAACTGAAGTTGTAACACAAACAATTTGTAACGCAGTTCGGGCAAACAATCCTAATCTGCGAGGCACTTCTCAATTTGAGAACTTGCCTAAATCCACTAAAAGCTCAATATTTAAAGTACACTGTTTGGAACCTGAGATTACACAATAGAATGATCTTTCCTACCAACTATTGAAACCTAAACACATGTACTACTTTCTAGGGGAATTTAGTATCCTATTCTCAAAGACTCTCGTACCTCACAAGATTAATGTTGAATGCTTGAGGTCTACAATAAAGGACATCCCCTATTTATAGTAGCTATTCCTAACAGATTCGTGAATAACAAACTATTCCTAATCAAAATAGAACTAGAAAATCTTCAACAACAAATCCCCTTAGAACTAGTATTCTTCAATAACTATTCCTCTTAGTACTGATATTCCTTTATAGAACTGGAATTCTTTTTGCACATAACTTTGACAAAATACTTTGAGTCAACA